GGGCTCAGACCCACTTGTTAGACCTTCAAGGGGTGGCATCCATGCTGACGGGGAGGGCTGCCTGGGTGTTGGGGTGTCAGGATCTGAGTACCTGCACACACCTGGCTGGCTGTCACCCAGGAGCCAGGGGCTCAGAGACTCACACACATTCACACACAGACACACACTCTCACACTCACACACACACTCACACACACCCTCCCCATAACAAGCTCACTCTGTCAGATCCTAACTACTCAGGAGACTGCGATCTGAGGCGCACAGTTCAAAGCCCCCAGGCTTGAAGATGAGTTCTTCAAGCCTGTTCTTGGCTGAGGCCAAGGCCTGGCCCGCACACGCTGCCTTCCTCTTGGACATAACTCTAGGAAGGAGGCCGGACCCTGTGCTGGGACCGTGGGGACTCAGGCAAGGCCCGGATCTGCCCAGGGAGACAGTGGGGGATCAGCGGATGATGCGGCGAACCTCTACGCCCGGCCTCCCTGCTCTGCTTCGCTCTTTCTTCTATTTTACTTTATTGCCGGTCCTGGGGCTTGAACTCAGGACCTAAGCGCAGTCCCTGAGCTTCTTTTGCTCAAGTCGTTGCCACTTGAGCCACGGTGCCACTTCTGGCTTTTTAGGTGAGAGAGCCTCACAGACTTTCCTGCCCAGGCTGGCTTTGAACCTCGATCCTCAGAGCTCAGCCTCCTGAGCAGCTAGGATGACAGGCGCTTTTTTTTTTTTGCCCTGTCTGTTCTTTCCTGCTCCACCTCCGTCCAGTCCCGAGAGCTGCCTGCCGTCAGTCACCTGGCTGTCGGCCGACTTCAGTGTCTTAGGCAAGAAAGCAAAGCATTCCAGTCTCACCCCCATCCTGGTGGAGGGGTTCTGGTTTTGGAATATTCTGGAGAAGACAGGAATTGTTTGCCTACCATTTTTCAGATTAGTACCCCATTTCAGAACTGGGTTTCATTCAGTTATTGGGCCCTCTCCCTCCCTCCCTCCCTCCCTCCCTCCCTTCCTTCCTTTCTTCCTTCCCTCCCTCTCTCCCTCCCTCCCTCCCTCCTTCCTTCCTTCCTTGTCAGCACTGGGGATTGAACCCAGGGCCTCAAGCTCTTTAGCTTTTTCACTCGGGGCTGGCATTCTACCACTTGAGCCACACACAGCTCCACTTTTGGAGCTTTTCCTGTCCAGGCTGCCTTTGAGCCAGGTCCTCAGATCACTTCCTTCTGAGTGTCTGGGATTACAGGAGTCACCATAGTGCCCGGATGGTCTTTCCTGCGCATTGTAAGGGAGCAGGGAAGCGGAAGCCGGCCCTGGGCTCGGGGCGAGGGCCGGGTCTAAGGCCACTGCCCTCGGTAGAGAAGCATCTGCAGGGATCGGGCCAGGGGCGCAGGCCTGGGCTCGGCTCTCCCTGGTCTCCTTCCTGCCTGGCTCTGGCTCATTTCCTGGGCCCAGGGACCTTCCCAGGTTTGGCTCTTGGGCCAGGAGGCGGGGCTGGCAGAACGGGAGTGAGCAGGACAGAACCAGTCTGATGAGCTGAGAGGATGCCTTTAAAAAAGAAAATCTCATCTCCCTCCCGGGTGTCAGCACAGCTCGCCTGCTGCAAAACAGAAGGTGCCCTGGCAGGTTCTGGATCCGTTCGTGGGACTCCAGCAAGTCTTTTCCTTTCAGAGTACCTCAGTTTCCCCAGCTGAAAGGAACAGGGTTGGACTGGCTGTGTGTGGGATGACTGTACTTTTTGGAAAACAAGTAGCAAGAGGTTGGGGGCTCCAGTCAGGCCCGAGGGGTCCCAGATGGAGTCAGGAGCTGGGAGACCATGTGCCTAAGGCTGGGGGGGGGCGGCGGGAGAGGGGGGCAAAGAGCAGGGGGAGGGGCTGGCCTGGTGGGGGAGGGCTTGAGCAGCACAGTTGGGGCTCCACAGTCAGATGGTGTGTGTGTGTGTGTGCGCCCTCACACCCCCGTGCCCACACGTGGGGAAGGGGGTTTGTGGGCATTGCGGGTTTGACAGGTTGTGGTGAGAGTTGGATGTGTGCTTAGCAATAAAGCACTTAGCCAAAGGCAGGTCTTAGTGAATGCTAATGATTGTGTGGCGATTGGGCTGTGTGTGTGTGTGTGTGTGTGTGTGCACACGTGCGCGTGTGCCAGTCCTTTGGCTTGAACTCTGGGCCTGGGCGCTGTCCCTTAGCTCTTCAGCTCAAGGCGAGTGCTGTACCACTCAAGCCATAGCACCACTTCTGGTTTTCTGGTGGTTCATTAGAGATCAGAGTCTCACGGACTTTCCTGCCCAGGCTGGCTTTGAACCACAATCCTCAGATCTCAGCCTCCTGAGTAGCTAGGGTGACAGGTGTGAGCCAGCGGCCTGTGGCTCACGCATCTTAAAACACACTCACGTCCCCCGTGGGACTCTCTCCCGCCACCACCTCCCCTTCCAGGTTCCCTGATCAGCCTCTACTGCTCTTCTCAAGAAGTCCTGTGCCAGATCGTGGGCAGCCTGAGCCCCGAGGCGCCCAGCAATGCCACGGCGGTCAGCTGGCAGGAGAGGATCAGGAAGAGCTACGGCTTCTACATCGGCGTGGGCCTGGCCTTACTCTCCTGCCTTCTCATCGGGAGCAGCGTCATCCTCAAGAAGAAAGGCCTCATCCGCCTCGTGGCCACAGGCTCCACTCGGGCCGGTAGGCTCCTTGGGGGGCATGGGGCGCAGGGCTGGGGAGCCCCCTGCGCTGGAGGAAGGCGTGGCTGGGTGCTGACTTCCCTTGGCAAGCTCGCTCACCGTCCCAGGTGCCAGGGATGGCTGAGAACTGCGGGGAGATGAGGGAAAGCCTCAGGATGCAGAGTTAGCAGCCGGCAGCTCAGATCTGGCTTGATTCCTCCCCTCCTCCCAGCCCAGGCAAGTCCTGACACCGTCCTAAGACAGGAGCGCAGCGTCTCCCCCAGATCTTCACGAGCCCCATTGCCCTGAGCTACACTGGGAAGCACTGGGTGCCCAGTCTCTGCCCGAAAGGAACTTGGGGTGTTGGGAAAGGGGAAGTGGATCCTTGAAATGGGTGTGTAGCAGTTCAGAGGGAATCTTTTTTTTTTTTTTTTTTTGGTTGGTCGTGGGGCTTGAACTCAGGGCCTGGGCGCTGTCCCTGAGCTCTTCAGCTCAAGACTAGCTCTCTACCACTCGAGCCACAGCGCCACTTGTGGTTTTCTGGTGGTTCATTGGAGATAAGAGTCTCATGGACTTTCTTGCCCAGGCTGGCTTTGAACCGTGATCCTCAGATCTCAGCCTCCTGAGTAGCTAGGATGACAGGCATGAGCCACCAGCGCCCAGCGAGGAAAGGAATCTCATGGCCCAGAGTCCATCCATGGTTGTCAGGCGCTGGTAGCTCACACCCAATCCCAGCTATTCAGGAGGCTGAGAGCTGAGGATCAACAGTTTGAAAAACACAGGCCAGGCAGGAAGGTCTGTGAGACTGTGGCTCAAGTGGTAGAGCAAAAGAGCCCAGGCCAGGGCTGGGGATGTGGCTCAGAGCCCCAGGTTCGATTCTTCAGTACCACAGAAACAGAAAAAAGCTAGAAGTGGTGCTGTGGCTCTAGTGGTAGAGCGCTAGCCTCGAGCCAAAGAAGCTCATATACAGTGCCCAGGCCTACCATTTTTCAGATTAGTACCCCATTTCAGAATTGGGTTTCATTCAGTCACTGGGTCCTCTCCCTCCCTCCCTCCCTCCCTTCCTTCTTGTTCTTTCTGTACTGGGGCTTGCACTCAGGGCCTAAGCACTCTCCCTGACCTTCTTTTTGCTCAAGTCTAGCATTCTACAACTTCCACTTTTCTGGTGGTTCACTGGAGATAAGCCTCACAGACTTTCACGCCTGGGCTGGCTTTGAACTGAAATCCTCAGGTCTCAGCCTCCTGAGTAGCTAGGATTATAAACGTGAGCCACTGGTGTCTATCAAATGAATGAATTATTAAAGGGACAAGAGTAGAACTTACTAGCCAGTAAGGACGCCACCATTTCCTTCGATGGAAGAGGACAGTGGCTTTGAGTGGGTGCTGGCAGAGGAGTGGATCCATTTGAGGTCTTTTTGGAGACAGATCCACAGGCAGGCCTTAACCAGCGCCCTTTACTGTGCTTCCGTTTAGCTCCAAGTAAGCAGGGAATCTTTCATACCAAAAGTTGAGCCAAGTATGGTGGCCCAGGCCTGTAGTTCTCGCTCCTCAGGAGGTGGAGGAGGAGAATCTCAGTTCGAGGCTAGCCCATGCAACATGGTGGTTCCAGTTAAGACCAAGACTGGGGGTGTCTGTGAGAGACTTAAGAGGTGTCAGGGAAGCAATCCGTACACAACTGAGCTCGGAGGACTGGTGTGAGCCGTGGCTAAGGAGCAGAGCACTGTCTATGGAGCTCTTCGGTGACACGTAGAGATCCAGAAGTCAGAGAGCCCGAGAGAGCATGGCGGCCCTCTAACTCTCCATCCCTTCCCTCCACAGTGGACGGCGGCTATGGGTACCTGAAGGACGCCATGTGGTGGGCCGGATTCGCCACCAGTAAGTGGCATCTTTGGGCACCGGAAGTGGTGGTGTGTTGACTGCAGGGTTGGGAGGGCCGGCTTGAACTTGGGGCCTGGGCGCTGTCCCTGAGCTCTTTTGCTCAAGGCGAGCTCTCTACCACTTGGAGCCGCAGCTCCACTTGCAATTTCTGACTGGTTCACTGCAAATAAGATTCTCCCAGGGACTTTTCTGCCCTAGCCTCGAACCACAATCCTCAGATCTCAGCCTCCTTAGAAGCTAGGATGACAGGCCTGGGCCCCCTGAGCCTAGTGGATGTGAGATCTCAAGTTTGCTCAGATCTGCACACCCACTTGTCCTCTGCCCCTTCCCTGTCGTCTCTGGCTCCTGGTTTCTGGTAGAAATGACTAGGCCCTGTGGACGGCAGGCATGCACTACCAGCGTTGGCTTTGGGATTGGGGTCTTGAGCAGAGCTGGGGTTCGCCAATCGGTGTGAGCTGTGCGTGGCAGGTATGGGGTGCTATGGACTCCACCCCCCTCTCTTCCGCTCTTAGTGTCAGCTGGAGAAGTCGCCAACTTCGGGGCCTACGCCTTTGCGCCTGCGACGGTCGTTACGCCGCTGGGAGCGCTGAGTGTCCTCATAAGGTTTGTGTCCACCCTCGGCCATCTCAAGCCAGCCAGGCCTGGGGGCAGGGCGGGGAGGGGCTGCTGTCTTGGCATTCAGGCGTCTGGACGGGTCCCACCCCTCGGGAAGATGAGCCACAGAGGGGCAGCCAAACCCAAACCTGTCACCCAACTGCCACCAGGCTGAGCGTCTCCGAGGAGACTTTGTATATGCTTTCCCCTTTGGCAGGAGAGCCCCAGAGCAATTCTGCATGAGTTCTACTCCTCACTCTAACACATAGTGGTCATGGTACTGTAGACCGTCACGGATGGACTCCGAGCCTCTATTGTCCCCATCTGTAAAAGGGGAATGCTCTTCACGTCCCCCAGGGCAGGCGCGAACCAGACAAGGCAGAAAGAGCACTAAAGAGTAACCAGGGCTGGCCCTAATTTTGGATGGCTGGCCAGTGATCAGTTCCAAGTCCTCTGATCTTCCTCGGCCGGCCTCACTCATGACCATGAGAGCTCCCGCTACGGGGCCGAGATAAGCAGGTTCTAAGTAGAACCTCTGGCTTGCTATCCACAGTCTTAAGCTGTCTCTTATGTAACAACAAATGATAGGTTTGGGTTGTTTGTTTTTGTTTGTTTGTTTTGTCGGTCATGGGGCCTGAACTCTGGGCCTGAGTGCTATCCTTCAGCTCTTCAGCTCAAGGCAAGTACTCTAACACTTGAGCCACAGTGTCACTTCCAGTTTTCTGGTGGTTCATTGGAGATAAGAGTTTCACGGCTTTTCCTGCGCAGGCTGGCTTTGAACAGCAATCCTTACATCTCAGCCTCCTGAGCAGCTAGGATGACAAGCGTGAGTCACCAGCGCCCGGCTCAAATGATAGTTTTTAAAATAACTGATGCCAGAGCTGAGGATGTAGTTCAGTGGTTAAGTGATTATAGAAGGTCCAAGGCCTTAGATTGAATTTCTAGATTTAGTATAGATTTCTAGATTGGATTTATGTGTGTGTGTGTGTGTGTAGACATAAAGTTGGGTATGGTAGCACATCCTGTAATCCCTGCTACTCAGGAGGTAGAGATAGGAGGATCATGGTTCAGCCTGGGTAGAAGTTAACTGGTCATCCTATCTGAAAACCAACTAAAAGCAAAAGGACTCTGTGTGTGTGTGTGTGACTCAAGTGGGAGAGTATTTAACTATCAACGGTGAGGCCCTGAGTTCAATCCCCAGGGCTGCCATACACACACACACACACACACACACACACACACACACACACACACACACACACACACCAAAGAAAGAAAAGAACTGATATATATTAGATACATGCACCTCTCACATTCTTATTCCTGCCAAGCTGCAAAACCCAGACCCCATTCTTCTGTGGGTTGGGTCCTCAGGCCACAGTGAAGGAGGCTTTGGTTTGGAGGTTTAACCTTGGAACCTTGATAAATCACAACCAAGCACAGCCAGTGCCTGTGACTTCTTGGTTAACAACATTTACACAGTCAGAACCATGGTGCACCCCGCACGATGCTGTGTGATCAGTCTGACATGGTTGTGGATTTCCGCTTCTCTCATCTATCCCATGGGGGACATCCATCTCCACTGACTCTTCACAAAGAAGTCTTTTTGGGATTTTTGGTTGTGGAACTTGAACTAAGGGCCTGGGCGCTGTCCCTGAGCTCTTTCACTCAAGGCTAGCATTCTACCTCTTTGAGCCCTAACTCCACTTCTGGTTTTTCTGGTGGTTCATTGGAGAGAAGAGTCTCACAGACTTTCCTACCTGGGTAGGCTTTGAAGGGTGATCCTCAGATCTCAGCCTCCTCAGTGGCTAGGATGACAGGTGTGAGCCGCCGGCATCTGGCTCACAAAGTTTTGAGCTGTTAGTGAGGTAGTAAATGGAACGTTCTGGGTACCATGTTTGGTATGAGGTCTACAACTCTCATTGTGGTTGCTTAGACAGGAATATCAAACAGAAGTGGAAAGAGGTTTGTCTTGTGCCAAGGGGACAGAATTGGGACCAGGAAGAAAAACTGCCAGAAGATAGATAGATAGAGAGATAGATAGATAGATAGATAGATAGATAGATAGATAGATAGATAGATAGATAGATAGGTAGGTAGGTAGATAGGTAGGTAGATAGATAGATAGATAGATAGATAGATAGATAGATAGATAGATAGATAGATAGATAGATAGATAGATAGATAGATAGGGAATCTCCACCCAGCCTTCCCTGCAGCTCACTTCGGTCTGAAAAGGGGTACGCTCTCCCTGCTGCCCCGGAACCCTCCCAGAAATGAGTTTCTATTTCAGCTGTTTAGGGGATAAAAATAATCTAGAAAGGCTCCCATGCTAGAGAGGATTGAGTTCGGATCGGCTGTGTCTCACAAGTGCTTGCTCAACCCATGTTCCTTTGGGATACGGGCACAGGCGTGGGCTCCGGTAATCCCTCTCTTTCCCATGTCTACCCCCAGCGCTGTCTTCTCCTCCTATTTTCTGGGAGAGAGCCTGAACCTGCTGGGGAAGTTGGGCTGTGTGATCTGCATGGCGGGCAGCACCGTGATGGTGATTCACGCCCCGGAGGAAGCCAAGGTCACCACCGTCATGGAGATGGCTTCCAAGATGAAGGACACAGGTAGGCTTCAAGCAGCAGCACCTGGGAAAACCCTGGGGGGAAGGGGGGACCGAACCCTGTGAGATATCTATTGGTCCATTGGGGGTCTGACTGCCTGCATAGGTGAGCTGTGGAAAGGAAGTTGGTAGGCGAGTACTGTTTGCAAGGCTAGCTTAAAGGACTTCCTGACCGGACATCCAAAGATATCACTGATTGCTTATGAAGCACCAGGCACTCTTCTAAATATACATACATACATACATATATATATATATATATATAATATATATCTCCAAGTATGTAGATAAAATACATATAAGGAACCTTTGATGTCCTTTTATATGCTTTGTCTCATCCACTCTCCCCCAACAGTCCTACAAATATCACTGTTGTTGGTCTCTTCCAAATGAGGAAAGTGAAGCCTTGGGGGTTTAATGACTTCCCTGAGTTACAAAACGTTTCAAGCCAGGCACCAGTGGCTCCTGCGTGTAATCCTAGCTATTCAGGAGGCTGAGATCTGAGGATAGTGGTCGAAAGCCAACCCGGGCCGGAAAGTCCATGAGTCTCCAGTTAACCACCAGGAAACTGGAAATGGTGCTGTGGCTCAAAATGGTAGAGCACTAACCTTGAGCGAAAAAGCTCAGGGACAGCACCCAGGCCCTGAGTTCAAGTCCCACAATCAAAAAAAGAAAAAGGAAAAGTTTCACCACTGAGATAGTATTTCTGTCTGACTTTGGAGCTACGTTCCCCGGCCATTGGTGGGGGGGTGGGGTGGAAAGAGAGGGGGTAATCCTACATGCTGTCCCCATCCCTCACTTCCGGAAGGGTTCATCGTGTTCGCTGTGTTCCTGCTGGTGTCCTGCCTGGTGCTCATCTTCATCGTGGCCCCTCGGTACGGACAGAGGAATATCCTCATTTACATCATCATCTGCTCCGTGATCGGCTCCTTCTCTGTGACAGCCGTCAAGGGGCTGGGCATCACCATCAGGAACTTCTTCCAGGGGCTGCCCGTCGTGCGGCATCCCCTCCCCTACATCCTGTCCCTCATTCTGGCCCTTTCCATCAGCGCTCAGGTCAACTTCCTCAACCGGGCGCTGGACATTTTCAACACGTCGCTGGTGTTCCCGATCTATTACGTGTTCTTCACCACGGTGGTGGTGGTCTCCTCCATCGTGCTCTTCAAGGAGTGGCACACCATGACCGCCGTGGACATCGTGGGCACCTGCTCCGGCTTCGTCACCATCATCTTGGGGGTGTTCATGCTCCACGCTTTCAAAGACTTGGATGTGAGCCACACCTGTCTGCCGCACATGCGCAAACACCCAGCCCCAGGGCCCGGCCCACAGCCAACGGCCGCCGCCACGGTCGTCAGACTGGAAGACAAGAATGTCTTGGTGGACAATATCGAACTTTCCAGCAGCACCCCATCCCCGGAACAGAAGCCCAAAGTATTCACAATCCATTCGTAAAGCCGTGTACGGGTGTGAGGAGTCAGCGATCGCCCCCACGGACCTCTCTCATGGCTGCCCACCCTGTGGCCTGTGGGCATGGCTCTTCTGGAGATGTTTATACCTCAACACTGTTTTTAGGGGAGAAGAAAACAGCAACAAAAATCCCTACCCAGCGAGTAGTGGGGGATGGAACTTTCTGGAATCACAGCCTCAGCGATCACATCCCCTCATTGATGTTGGAACCAGCAGGTCCCTGGACCCCCACCCTGTGCCTCACCTCGATACCATCTCTGTGTGGCCGGGAAGAAGACAGAATTTGACCCGTTGAATGTAGCACAGCCAAGAACTTCCCTGAGCTACTGACATCAGAACTTTCCCCACCCAGAGACAGACCTTCCCCGTGGGAGCCCCGGATGGGAGCAGATCTAGAGACCCAGAGAGGAAGATGATGTCAGCCGCCCCATCTCAAGGTGACTGTCCGTATCCAAAGGCCTCCCCCCCCCCTGCCAGATCCTCCTGGAGACAGAAAGAAGCCCCGATCTCAGCTGACCTTACTGTGAAAACCGCCTGATGTCTCAGGGAAGTTTCGCCCAGCCCCATTCCCTACCTGCTCCAGCCTGGTGGTCCGCCATCTTGGCGTTCATCCACCCCAATGCCTACACCGCCGTCTCTCCCAGTGTCTGTCCATCCCAAGGCGTCAGTTGGTGAGATGCGCATGCCATAATCTTAGAACGTCAGCTTTTGCTGACTGAGCCCCATGTGCCATGTTCTCTTCCCCTGGAGAGAGGACAATTTCCCTGCTTTTAAGAGTGGCCCGTGGCGGGAGTCTGCAGCTCATGCCTGTAGTTCCCAGCTACTCAGGAAGCTGAGAGCTGAGGATCAAGTTTGAAGACAGCCTGGGCAGAAAAGTATAGGAGTTTGTTCTCTCCAATTACCAAAAAAAAAAAAGCTGGAATGGAGCTCAAGTAGTAGACATGCCTTGGGCCAAAAAGCTAAGAGACAGCGCCCTGGCCTTGAGTTCAAGCCTGCATTACTGGCTCACACATCCCAAAGACAGTCCAGATGCCAGGCTGGAATCTGGCCTGGAGTCTGGCATCAAGCATCTTCCTTTCCTATCAACGTGTGATTTAGGGAGCCCAGGAGAAAGGTCAGGCATGGTGGAAGGCAGCCGCAGGCTCACGCGGGGCTTCAGCCCGTGCTCAGCCCGGCAACCGGGCCGAAAGGATGCTGGGTAATATCTGAGCAGCAGTGCTAGGGCGTGGCCTGGCTTTTAATTCCCAGCAGCCAAGTCAGAATCCCTGACTTGTATTTGGCCAGCGGCAGCTGGAGAATTTTCTGGTGTGTGTGTGTGTGTGTGTGTGTGTGTGTGTGTGTGTGTGTGTGTAAGAGACAGAGAGGGACAGAGACAGAGAAGGGGAGTATAAAGATCATCAGAAAGCCAGTGAGTAGGAAGGCTTGAATCCCCCCCTCCACCCCCATTGGTACAGAGACACCCCCCCCCATGGAGTTCCCTGTCTACAGGTCAGATTCCCTCGGGAGCTGCGGCCAGGTGAACCCCGGGCGGGCTGCGCAGCGTTCTCCCCCCTCCCCGCCCCGCTTCCCGTGAATGTGGATTTCCGTCTGCAACCGAAGTCAATGCAACGCATCAGAGCTTACGAATGGCGGCGACCCCGAGAGGGAACTCCAGGGTCCAGAATAAAAACTATCTTTCCCAGTGGGCGGACTCCATGTGTGTGCCTCTACCGTGATCACGTAAGGAAAGCCAGCCCCGGATCTCTGGGAGAGCAGGTGACCCTTCTGGAGTGTTCTACTCTTCTAACCTCACTACCGAGTTCCATGTGTCATTCATACCTGGGCCCTCACTGAGCAGCACCTTGAACCCTTCCCAGATCCGCCAGGCATGCGCCGTACCTTCATTCCCAAGAAAAGGGGCTCAGAGACATTGGAGAGTTGGCCACAGTCACACAGCACAAAAGAGTTGATATCTGGTTCTAAGCCCACCACGGTCACAATCACGAGGCCACAGTGTGCCTCCCCCCAAAAGGAAATGCCCCCCCATTCCATAATCAAGCCCGATTCCCCATTAGATTATAGCTACATTGTCTTGTAGATACAATGTAACGTTTCCACATGAGCTACTTGAGCAGGTCTAGATTTATCAAGTATCTGTAGTGACCCACACATAGTTGCCATTCATACGATACTCAGTAATGTTATTCACTAATATATGTATTATGCATATAATAATGATGTGCATTATAATTAGGTATATATATGTATATAATACATATGTATTATGTATAACACACACACATTTGGCTTTGTAATAAGGGACACACGCCAGCTCCAAGTCCTTTTCTGCCTAAATTCTCTGGGGAGCAGTGTGGAAGCCCCCAGTCTGGGCCTTTCCAGCTCATAGGAGTTCATAGCACCGCTAAGTGTTTACACCAGCCAGCTTTCCACCCTGTATTAAGTGCACCAGGTGCATTGGTGGCTCACGCCTGTAATCCCAGCTGCTCAGGAGGCTGAGCTGGGAGGATCATGGCAGGAAGCCAGCCCAGGCTGACAAGTCAGAGACTGTCCTCTCCAATTAATTAGCAAAAAGGCGGAAGCGGAGCTGGGTGTGGCTCAAGTAGTAGAGTGCCAACCTTGAGAGAGGAAAAAAAAGTGGAGTGTACAAAGGCCCCCAGTTCGAGCCCTGGCACCCACACACAACAGAGCGATCAGGTTTAGTTTGGCTCCTGGTTTCGGAGGTTCTGGTCCGTGGTTGCTTGGCTCTGTGGCTCTAGGTTTGTGATGGGAATGCCAGGCAGAGCGCAGCTCTGGCTAGAAAGTAGAGCCAGAATGAGGATGGGGGTGGCGGGGGGGGGAGAGAAGAAGGTCCCCATCTTAAAAGTGTCCCCGCCTCCCAGTAGAGGCTCCTTGGGGACAGAACCTCCAAAATCTATGGGGGAAGGAAGCACAGCTAAGGCCCAGATGGTACAGGATTATTCCTGTCTGGATAGGAGACAGGAATAGAAACTAGAGTCTCTGGAGAGACTAGTTTCCACCCCCCCATTTCTGTGAGCCACAGCACCGCTTCCAGCTTTTTCTGAGGAGTCTACTGGGAGAGAAGAGACTCACAGACTTTCCTGCGTTGGCTGGCTTCGAACTGGGATCCTCAGATCTCAGCCTCCTGAGTCACTGGGATTACAGGCGCGAGCTACCAGCGACTAGGAAGATTACTTTTATAGCACAGGTTTTGGGATCAAAGCCCAGCTCTCTGACCTCTGCCTCCATCTTTAGGGTACAGATCTTAGCAAGGAAATGAAGGGGAGAATTGAACTTCTCGGCTTCCTCCTAAAGGCAGTAATGGAGGACGGGCATGGTGGTTCATTCCTACCATCCCAGCTCCACAGGAGGTAGAGGTAGGGTTTCCTGTCTGAAAAGCAACAGTAAGCAACAAAGGACGGAGGAACTGGCTGGTTCGAGGTGGGTAAAGAGCTTGCCTGGTAAGGAGTTCAAATTCCACCAACACCAAAAATAAGATAAAGGCAATAGTACAGGAGGTGGAAGGTACCAGATGTCCACGATCATTCCGGCGTTTGGTGATCCAAGATCCAAATTACGCAGGCTGGCCTCTGTCCGGTGGGAAGCAAACAGCCCCCTCTGCTGGCCGTGGAGAAGCCTTGCGAGGGCTTGGCTGCGGCTCACAGTGCTAGAAGCATCCATGGTGGCCAGGGCAGGCTGCATTTTTGTTCCTGGAGGGACCTTTTTCTGAGAGGAAGTGGGCTCAGTTAACCCTGTGCGGGCCGAGCAGTGGGACCCGCCCATAACTACAGGCAAGAAAGAGCTGCCACGCCAGAGAGCATTGCAAATGCGAGTTCATTTTAATTAAATACAAACGAGGAAAAACGAAACAACAAAACAAGGCAACCCACAAGGCACCACGGCCCGTTCAAGTATTTTGCATAGATGTACAAATATTGTAAACAATTAAAAGTGGACACGAGGAGAGCAAGTTTTCTATGCTAATCGCCTACACTGGAAAAAAAAAAAAGAAAGACAAAGGAAATTCACATTGGTCTGGATCCTAGACATATCCGTACACATGGTGGATGGGTGGGAAAAGGGGAGCTTTGGGGGGGGTCCCCTTAGCTTGCTAAGCGGGCCCAGGGGCGCGATGATGAATGCATTGAACAAAATCACTACCTTTAGAACTGGTCCCAAGAAAAAACCAACAACAAAGATTCACGTGTTGCCTTTCCTATTTGCAACGAGCACACATCTGACCTGGCTCAGGAGCGCTGGACGGACAGACAGCAGATCTCCATGCCTGTAGTGCTAAGTGGGAAGCCTGCAGGACGCCGATTTCACTCCTACAAAACAGACCGACATCCTCCTCCCCCCAAGCAGAGGGAACTCAGTGAAGTTCCCCTCCTCCAAGGCCAGATCTGAGGCTTCCTAGAACTTACCCCCGGCCCTGGCCAACCCACCCCCCAGTGAGTGGACACGGGTCATGTCCTGGACAGTTATTTCTAGCTGTGGTCACATCTTCCCACCCCAGGCCTCCGCGTCCAGGCTTTGAACTGCCCTTGTCTTTGGGCTGGGCTGGCTCCGGGAACCGCCTGCTTCAGGAATCCACCCCTGCCATCCTGGCCACTCAGGAGGCTCAGATCTGAGGCCCTCGGTTGGAAGCCAGCCTGGCAGGGAAGTCCTTGAGACCCTTATCTCCAATTAAGCACCAGAAAATCAGAAGCGGCGCTGTGGCTCAAAGTGGTGGAGCGCTCACCTTGAGCAAGCGAGCACTCAGAGCCGTGAGTTCAAGCCCCATGACTGGCCAAAACTAAACTAAATCCCCACCTATCTCCATGTTGTTCCTGCCTTGGTCACCGTCCTCTACAATAAAGTCTCCCTTTCCTCGAGTCCAGACGTGTGCGCGCGTGACACTGTAGACTCGCACTGCTTGGGGGAAAAGATGGTGCAAAATGGGTGCTGTCCCGCCCACTGCAAGCCATCTCTGACCCCTGGAAAACACCCCCTCCAACCTCACAGCCCCCTAAACAGCCAGGAGTGAGGCGGTGAATAGAACTCATTCTCAAAAATTCCCAATCTGATTCAAAAAGGCCACCGGCTTCCAGTTCACAGTATCATTTCACGGGACGAGGGACGCGTTAAAATAACGGCAAAGGAAAAGAAAAAGCAGGGAGAACACGACGCAGTCCACTTCCCGCTCCGGTTCTAGGGCTGGTGGGCTTCAGGGTCAGAAGAGTCGTACGAGCCGGGCACCGTGGCTCACACCTGTCATTCCTAACTACACAGGAGGCTGAGATCCGGAGGACTGCGGTTCAAAAGACCGTCCACGCGGAAAAGGCCACGAGACTCTTATCTCCAATTTAACCAACAAAAAGCCAAGCTGGAGGTGTGGCTCCAGTGGTAGAGCACCAGCAGAGTAAGCAAGCCGATTGAGGGCACAAGGGCTCTGAGTCCAGACCCTATTACTGGCAAGCAGACAGACAAACGGACAAGCGTCACGTGGTTATGATGGCTGTGGTTTTGTCACCAGAGAGAGAAAAGAGAAAGAGAGAGAGAGAGAATGGCCACACAGTCCACAGGAGCATGTAGGGGTCCAGGGTTGGGCTGAAGCAGTTGCTTGTTGGCTTGGGGTGAGGGATTCCCTTTTCTGGGGCCCCAGCTCCAGCGTGAGGCTCTTTGGTGCAGTGTGCACACGCAGGGCTGTTTCCTGTGGAAATCAGAGCGTGGCCACATGGATCACGGGCCCTCGGGGTCGGGACCCGTGCTGTCCTGAGGTCCGTCCGACCCCACTCCCTGTCCGTGGCTCTGGCACCCACCCCACACCCCCTTGCCCGCGTGATTTCCGCCCAGCAGCAGTGTGCGGAGAGCTGGGAGGAGGCCCTGGGGAGGAGGATGGGGGCCAGAGGCTCAGCCACCTCCTCACAACTGAGGTTTCCAAGAGTAAACAATTGCTCCCTGAAGGAGGTGAGGAGGGGGCGCCCCTGGAAGAAGTGGGTACTAAGCCACTCAGCACCTTTTTTTGGAGGGAAGGGTGGAGGCGGGAGATGGCCCTTCTGAGAGCATCCCCAGCTACTCTGTCGAAATGGCCCCCTCGAGCAGAGCACCGCGCAGCCTCCGCTCTGGACCCCCGAGCAGGGCGGACTCCTTGGGGAAACCGAGTCCACCATCGGCTCAGGGGTCTTTCGGGGAGGGAGGGTCAGGTAGGAGCTGTTGGAGAGAACAAGAGGAAGTAAGTGGATGGCAGAAAGCCTGCTGGGAGCCCAGTGCTGCGGCTCCCGCCTGGAATCCCGGCCAGTCAGTAGGACGAGCTCTGAGGATCGCAGTCTGAAAGCCAGCCCGGGGCGGGAGAAGTCTGCGAGACTCTGATCACCCATGAACCAGCAGCAAAAGAAGCCAGAAGCGGAGCTGGGGTCGACCGCCGGCCTTGAGCAAAAATATAAAGCTAAGGGACAGCGCCTAGGCCCTGAGTTCAAGCCCCAGTATCCCCGCACACCTACAAAAAAGCCTGATGGAGAGGTGGGTGGAAGAGGGGCCCCCGAGGGAGCTGCGGCTCACCGCGGCCTCGAACCCACACCCCCAGAGACGTGTGCAGCCGCCTGGTTAGAAACAGGTCTGCTGTCCGCTCCGAGAGACCCGCATCCGGCCAAGGAGCCCATCACAAGGGGTGCGGTCTCCCCTGTGCGTGCTGGGATGGCCACTGCCATCCCTGGGGGACCCCAGATGTGGGTTAGGGGTGTGTGTGTGTGTGTGGAGAACACTCACTCCCCATGGGGCAGCAAACGACAGAGACAGACGCGCGCCCGGCGCGGGGTCTGCTGGGTCAGCGCAGGACCTGCAGACCCCTGGGGCAGGACCCCGACTCTCGTCGGCCTCAAGCACCCCGCCACCAGCGCGGCGCCCCGACGGCTCAGGGCCCACCCCCCAGCACCATGGAGGCTGGACGGCAAAGCTCGAGAGGACACGGGAGGGACTGGATACAGGGCAACCTTTGGCATGGGCTCAGAGGAGGCCCCGGCCCGGGGCGCCCCCTGCTGTCTACACCGCTTACAACAACTAGTACCTGTCAGCGTCGGGACGGCGGGAGGGAGGAGGGGGAGACGGGGGAGGGACGGGACTCAGCCACCGTGACTCCTCTAGGTCCTGGGCGGCCTCGGTTCCGTCCACCGCAGCCTCGCCACCTCCCCGGGGCTCCCGGAGCTCTCCGGGCTGTGTATTGCACCAAACAACACAGACGAGCCATCGGAGGGGAGATCCTCTCCCGCGGGTGTCTGAGGACACCCAGCCGGCCTCCCGTCGAGGGTGGGGGGAACGGACGGATGGACAGACGGACGGACGGATGGTCGGAGCCTTCCACAATGTGACCCCGGGAGGCAGGAGGAGCTGGCTCCAAGGAGGCCACACAGACTTCACACCCAGATCCCGTGCCTCTGGGATCCACTTGGCAACACCCGGCATCCTCGAGAAACTTCTAGGTGCTTCTAGATCTTGGAGCTGGTCATGGCTCCAGTCCTCTGGGATCGGTACTGAGGAAGCTGGAAGGGAAGAGAAGCGGGGGCTGAGCTGGGGACCTGGCCACAGAGGAGCAGGAAGAATAGGGATGGGGTGGAGCCAGTGGCCCTGGGCCAGGCAGCTGTGTGTGTGTGTGTGTGTGTGTGCGTGTGTGTGTGTGTGTGTCCGTGGGGGGGGAGGAATCGCTTCCAGTGCCATTTGGGGACAGGAAGATAAGAGCCAAGCCACGGGTGCGGCTCCATGTAAAGTGTCCATCACCAGGAGATCAAGTCCATACACCCAGGCATCCGGAAGCGACAGGCTCCCAGCTCTGGCTTTCCTTCTAGAAGTTTCCACCAGAGAAGTGCAACCGGTGTGTACCGGTGCACCCCGGTGCCTCGGTGAACTCACCCTCGGGGCAGGAGCGATCAGAGGCTGGATGTGCGGGGGGCCGGCCGCAGGCGGCTGCAGAGCAGGGCCGCCGCCCGGCCTGGGGAAGGCCCTGCGGCCCGGCACGGGGTTGGCTGGGAGCGCCTTCTGGGGCGGCCGAGGCCTGGCGAAGTCCTGGAGAAAGAAAGAGGCCATCACTGGAGGGGAACAGCCGCAGGACAAGCGCTGGAAATCAGAGGGGGAAAGCCACGGGCTGAACGGCCCTGGGTCTAACAGGAATGCAATCCTAGATGGGCAAGGGGCTGAGATCCAGGACTGCGGTTCAAAGCCAGCACTGACAGAGAAGTCCCAGAGACTATCTCTAAAATGAAGGTGGCGCAGTGGTAGAGCACTTGCCTTGCATGCATGAGGCCCTGGGTTCGATTTCTCAGCACCACATAAGCAGAAAAAGCTGGAAGTGGCGCTGTGGCTCAAGTGGTAGAGCGCTCGCCTTGAGCTGAAGAGCTGAGGGACAGCGCCCAGGCCCAGAGTTCAGGCCCCATGACTGGCAAAACAAAAAACAGAACTGAAGCTTCCCAGCCTGACATCCTAGCCTCTCAGGAGGCTGAGATCTGAGGATCAAGGTTCAAAGCCAGCCCAGGCAGGAAAGTCTGTGAGACTCTTATCTCCAATTAACCACCAGAAAACCAGAAGTGGTGCTCTGGCTCAAGTGATAGAGCGCTAGCCTTGAGCTGAAGAACTCAGGGACAGCGCCCAGGCCCAGAGTTCAAACCCCACAATCGATAATAATAATAATAATTCACACATTCAATTTCTAACCCTCAGCACCTTGTATGTGAGCAGGCTTAGAGATAATAAAGTCTTTAAAGAGCTGATTAAATTAAAATGTTTAGGAGCTGGGAATGTGGCTCAGTGGTAGAGTGCTTGCCTAGCATGCATGAAGCCCTGGGTTCCATTCCTCAGCACCATATACACAGGAGAAGCCAGAAGCGGTGCTGTGCTCACATGGTAGAGCACTAGCCTTGAGCAAAAGCAGCTCAGGGACAGCTCACTTAATCTCAATTTTAAAAAAATTATTAAAAAGAAAAGAAATTAGGCAGAATTCTATTATAATGGCACCAAACAGAGTAAGCGCAAGATGTGTGCACCGAAATGTATGAAATAATGTCAAAAGAAATGAAAGAATATATGAATAAATATCACAGCTCCATAAAAAAAAACAAAAAGCCACTGGGACAGGCCCTAATCCAATCTAGTGTCTTGGCAAGGCTGCGCAGTGAATTCCGGGCTGCAGAGCGTTGAGATTGTCTCAAGGAAAGAGCCAGAGGGAATCGGGGCCCAGTCAGGAAGGGTCACGTGACGATGAGGGAGACTTAAGAGAAACTCGCCCCACCTGGCCGGGCTGTGGGCTGGCCGCCTCCAGCCTTCGCGAGCGTAAATGCACGCGTCCTGTGACGCTGTATGTAGTGGGCAGCCGGGGGTTCAAGACCCCAGCAACGCCCTTGTCCATACCGGGGACTCCGGCAGATGAATCAGAGGCCCCACCGTCACCTCCCAGAAGTCTGCTCGATGCACGGCCCCTTGGATGAGCAAGGCATCCATCAGTAAGAGGAAGACGTCATAAGAGAGCTACAAGGAATTGAGCTGGGATTTGGGGTGAGGGTGGGGGAGATCTCCCCTGGGGAGATGTGACATCCCGGATCCAGTGACGGGCAGAAGACGCCTGTCAGTGCACGTGGCACTTGCAATGGGGGTGAATTGGGGTAGAAAGTGGCTAATGGGGGGGAGGCTGCAGTTTGGGGGGGGGAGGGCATGTGGAGGTGGGCACTTGGCTTCAATCACTGTACTACCCACCCCACCGTGAGCCCCCGGGGATCCACCAAGTCCAACTCCACAGCTTCTGGCCCCTGGCCACACTAACCATGTCCCCCGGCTCAGGCTTTCTGAGAAGAACTTACCTGGGAGAGGAGGCAGTTTGGGGCGGGGGGTGCAGGCCGGCTCGGGGGAGGCCCCCTGGAGGATTCCTTTCTCTGTACTTGAACCCCGGGGCTTGGGGAGCTCTTCGGCACCCTGTTCAGGTGTGTTGGCGGCGGGGCGGTGGGAGACTGGTCACGCAGGTAGTCGGGAGGGGGCCTGGGGGGAGGCTGGGAGGGCTTCCGGAAGATTTCCGGGGTGCTGCTCACCTGTTGTGCACGAGACAAGGAATACCTCAGGTGAGGAGCCCTCAGTGCTCTTAAGGGCTCAGGGTACCCTACATAGGAGTTCAGATGAAAAGTCCCGAGGGAGACAGGTGTGGTGGGCATGCCTGTAATCCCTGCCGCTTTGGAGGTGATGATGAGGATTGTGGATCAAGGCCAGCCTGGGTCATGGTTATTAGCAAGACCCTTTCCTACCCATCCCACCTGGGCCACATGGGCTCTTGGGAAAGTTGAGGAAACGCCACAGCACCAGGCCCTTACCTTCCGTTTGCCCTGGGGCGTGCGCAACTTGAAAGTTGGGTTGGCATGACCAGATCCACTGTTCTGGGACACCCTGAAGGGACAGCTGGAAAGAAGGAAGAGGGAGGAGATTGTGCAGCCCAGGGTGATGAAGATCATCTAGTAATGTCTGTCACTTAGAGAAGGATCATCTGTTCATGTCTGCCACAGCCACAGAATGTGGCACAAACAGAGAGGGCATTCTCTTTCCCTGGATTAGACCCACAACCACCAACTCTTTCACCAAATACTGTCAACAGACAGCTTTTCAATCTGGAAGAGGGGACCCCCCAAGTCCTTCCCAGCTCCCCGTTTTTACCTGAACTGTTGCCGCAGCTTGGAAGGAAGGGCCAAGGGTTGGAGCTGGCTCAGTTTGCTGTTCTGTCGGCAGCAGTGGCATATCAGCAGAAAGACTACCAGGACGAAGAGAGCAGAAAACACTCCAGCCACCACAGGCCCAGCACCTTCCAGAAACAGAATCCGAACAGGAGATTGAAAAGCTGCTCCAGTGACAGCAAAATTATGTGTTCCCAACTCTTCAGAAACCTGATTCGCCTGTCATTTGTATGACTTGTTTTAGCTGACAAATTATGACTTAGATCCTATGAGGAGCTTTAAGACCGGGCTCAATTTGTTTAGCTTGGACCTTATAAAGAAACCGTTACCGCTATTTCTGTTTAATTGGGGGAGATTCACTTTTGGGATAAAGCAGTTCAAGTTCTATCCTTCAGCACTAGTTTTCACCCTGAATCAGGATCTTCTGGGACAAGATTAAACTCTGTGTGTGTGTGTGTGTGTGTGTGTGTGTG